GCAGAGCCTCGCCGGTCTCCGAGCTGTGCGCCCGCAGGCAGTGGCTCCCAGCGTTTCATATCCGCTGCTCCCGGGTGGTGGGGGCCCGGACCTTGAGGCGCTGTCCGCGAGAGGGGCGGGAGGGGAGGTAGCTGGTCCTCGACTGCGGGCGCCAGTCTGCAGCGCCCTCTGGGCGTGGACACCAAGCGCCTTTCAGGTGCGTTGGACTCCCAGATCCCGGCGGGAACAGTTTCAGCGGCTGGGCGGCACCCCGAGGCGGTGGGGCGCTCGCGTTTTGCCGGCACTCCACAAAGTGCTGGAAACTCTGGGCCTTACTTGAAACAGCTGGACACGCTCTAATAAAAGTTTCTAGAGTCTTTCTATGGAACACAATTCTCTCTTCATCCACTGAGTTTAAAGGAGAAATAAACGGCTTTGTTTCCAGGTGACCTCTGTCCTGCAGATCTAAGAAGGTCTCCCTTGAGTTCCTGGTCCTTCGTGATTCCATGAGAGGCCCTGGACCTATGTCTACATCACCAACCAGGCACCATGCAAAAGGCTATGGAAGGACCGCTGCCCTTGGGCAACAGGCCCTAAGGAAGAGGGGGGAAACTACTTGGCCCCGCCTGCAATCTGGTAGGCGGGAGAAATGACCTTCGGACCTAGGCCTGGACACCAAAGATGGCGTCCTCCCCACTCAGCCTCCCCAGGAAGAGGACTGGCCGGCTTCAGTTCGCCTGAACTGGGAACCAAGGTCCCCTAAGGCTTCTTGGCCTCAAACAATCTCCAGTGTTTCTCTTTAAACAGATTAAACATTCCTGGGTCCGGCGTTATGCGGGCAGGGACAATTGGCTGCGGGCTCCTGGATTCAACCCCAGAGCTCAGGAAGTCCAGGCAGGTTAAGCTCTGCTGGTAGAAGGCCGTGAGTGTATGTCCCAGGGGCCCGCCCACTGCCTGAAGTTGGCTCTCTTGTCCTTTCAACCCAACGTGGAGGAAAACTAGGTCAGTTTGGAATCTTGTCTTTCTCTAATGCCCCAAATAATGCCCAATAAAGAAAATAAAGTCAGGGAGGTTTTGATGGAGTCTTTTCATATTATAAAAAGCACCAGTGTACAATTTCTTTCAAACTGAGTCAGTTTGTCCCAGATTGATGTGTGTTTCTTTGCGC